CGGGGCTGCGGGTTCGAGTCCCGCCCCCTGCCGGGCTCACGGCTCCCGGGATGGTGGCGTGGGGCAGCTGGGCAGGGTCAGCCCGGAGCACAGGATCATGTCTGGGATATTGCCATGAGGGAGGCTCCGCAAGCTCTCTGGGTAATTTGCTCCAGGGCTCTTTGGACAAGTTCTTCTTCACCTTCAGGGGAGACTTCCTGGGTGTCGATTCCTGCTCGTTGCGCCATGTCCTGGTGGTTGGCAGCACGGAGCAGAGCCTGGTGCATCCTTTCGCACCCTCATTTAGATATTTACACACGGGCTCACCCTTCCCTTATCCCTGCTGGGGCTCCCATCCATTCCCGGGGCTGATCCCTGTATGAGCCATAAGGGCTGGACTCCGTGGTCCTTGTGGATATCCTGGGATTCTGTGCCCACCCCAGGGCACCTCCGGTCAGGCTGGGGCCGAAGGCCGGGCACAGAGTGTCCCCCAGCACTCGCCTTGGCTCCCCTTCCACAGCTTCCACCTCTTGGCAGAGGATTCCCGAGATTTGCGCTGGTGCTTTGCACCACGGAGCAAATTCCAAACTGAGGATCTCGGAGCCTTTTTGAAAAGATAGGCAAGTATTGTGAAAGCTGACTTTAATATTTAATGCAAGCGTTAATGCTCTCACTAGTCCCGCAGACAGCCTCTCTGCCAAAGCAGAGCCCTACTCCAAAACCCAGTTTTTTCCATGCCCAGATGCATATTGTGCAGTTCACAAGAAGTAGGTGGCTTCTCTGTTACTACATGCACAGATTTGCAGAAGGACTGTGAGATTATTCAGAATTAAGATGCTACAGTGACAGTGAAAGCTATTTTTAAGAGATGTTTGGAAAGTGTATGCATCTTACTAATCCTCTCATATTACACATTAATTTTCTAGGCAATGCCTTGCAAGTAGAATGGAAAATTTTAAGTTACTATATGCAGAATTTTTACAGCAGTGTTCAAGCAAAAACACAAACCAGTGTAAAGCACCTAAAGTAAAAGAAAGCTCTGAATGTCTCAGCTAACCTGACATTCACATTAAAATACGATATGTTCATGCAACAGCAGCACGTTGATCACAACTATGCAACACGATGATGTTTCAAAGGCCCTGCAAATTATTTCAGGACTCCTGAACAAGACGAGCGACAACCTTCTGCAAATGTCTTGATAGAGTAGGAGGAAAGAAGGACACTCTATAAATAAACTTATATGATAAGTTTAAAAAAAAAAGTGAGGCTAGATATATTCACCAAGAGAAACTTTGAAGATTTACTCACACTGAGCCTATTTTTGTATGCCAGTGTAGGCAAGCAAGATTCTTCTTTTCATCTAAATAGAAGCAGAGTATTTTTAAACGCAGGAGATTCATTCCCCCAGTGCTCATCGAAACACGGCAGCTGGGGCCGGAGCCGGGATGCGGGGGGAGGGCTCTGGGGGGAAGCAAACCCCTTTCCAAGGGGAACAGATGGTTTTCCCTGGGCAGGCTGCAGCCAAGGGCTGTGAGGAGCATTCCTGGGTGCCCAGGGCCAGCCCGAGCCCCTCAGAAGTCCCAGAGGTTCTCAAGTCATTCCTCCCCACGGAGAAATCCAAGGATGTGAAGGAAATCAGGGAAAGCAGCATTCAGCATTAAGTACACAACAGGAAAAATAATCATTTGATAAAAGTGATTGGGTAGATTTGGATATCCAGGATGATGCTTCTTGCAAGTCTGAATTGATTTCAGGATATGGTCAAATTTTCCCATTTCTTTTCCCTCAAACAGCACAGCTCACTGTCTGGAAGAGAGGATTAATGTCTAACACTTGGTTTGGTGTGGATGCACCTCCCAGTTTTGAGCAACTCAGCTCATGTGGCTGAGCTCACTTCTCTATAAGAATGCATTTTGGGATCCGGTTCATCAGTCCTGACACATTCATCACAATAAATCCTTCTATAGAATCCCAGCACAAGTGCAGAACATTATTTGTCCAGTAAACCTAAACACAGGATAAGGAACTGATAAAATATCCAAGAAAGAGGACAGAAAACTAACACATCACCTAAGGAATTTTGAACTCAAACTCTTCCTGACTCAGAACCTTGAAGCTTTCCCAACTCCATGTACAGCACCTCAGAACAGTAAGACACAATGGAGGACAATCACATCCATGGTTGGCAAATTCTGCACCAGACACTGCTTGCCCTTTGTACTCTTTGGGATATAAAGAGTATTCTCTGGAAAACAGAGAGGAGGCAGATTAAATAAGAATTGAGGAAAAAATGCTGTTGAAAATGTGCTTTGTTTTGCAGATAGGTTCTTACAGAGTTCTCATCTCTGCAACTTCCAGAAGTGCATTAAGCTGCATAATTAGCATCTGTCACATAAAGCTTTTTCCTTTCCCCTTCCTCTCCCTAGAGGGAACCTGCATGAAGAAATTTTAATATAAATTTTAGTATCTACTCTGCGCAGTGCAATTATATTAGGAAAGCTACAGGCAAGTCAGTTTGTGCTCAGTCTAAGGTTTATCTTTGTGTAATAGAAACTTTACCATTTTTTTTTTAAATGTTGCTGATCCAATTTAAAAATTAACCAGTATCTTGGAAAGACAACAGGGGTGGGGGAGAGATGGTCCTTATTGCATCAGATTTAAACCAGTGGAATTGTCAGGAACTGACAATTTGCCAGTCCTGGTATTAAATCCTTACAATCTCACATGGAAACATCCAGCCAAAAGGAGCTAGGGATGGGTGATTTCCCCTTCTAGTCAAAACCATTTATTTTGAAAGGAATATTTATATTTTTAAAATATCTAAACAAAGTAGGAGTTCATGTTGCTTTTTCATTCACATCAAGAGATACTCCACTGCTGAATATAAAAGTCAATGGACTACAGCATCTCCTGGTGAATCTCTGCAGGCAAAAGAAGATGCTGCCTTTTAGAAATCAAGATTAAATAGAAATAAATGCAGCTTAACAATAGCAACATGACAAACAACTCTTATTCAGCCTCTGATTGCCATTCAGACTCTCTCCTAATTTTTGGAAGTATTTATTTTCTACTTAATTATTCCAAGAAAATTGAGATTATAGGATTGAACATACTGCCAACAACCTGAGGTATGGAGTGCAGACTGAGTGCTTAAACTTCAGCTACAGAGGTGGTAATTATTGTAATTGGTGCATGTGAAGTAAATATATCAAGCAGTGTAGAGTTCAAACTCGTGCCAGTCAGTCTCCAGTTGGCACCAACATTTCTGTCAGGAGGATACAGAGGTCTCAGCAGGACTTATTACTGGCAACTGTTCAACAGTTCTCTTCTCCAAATGGTTTCAAGGGGATTTGGGTGGGAAGAAAGATAATTTTTAACAAATTAAACTACCTAAAAATGGCGAGCTGCCCAGAGCCACCTAGTCTGCCTTAGTCACTACTACCAACCATTTTAAAAAAGAAGATTAAAAATATCATTGCTGGCAGAATTTCCTACCTGGCTTTAACAACTTAATCAGATCCCTGCAAAATTACCCAAACATGTGCTGTACACCATCCTACAAGTGTGTATAAAATTTGTCCAGAGTAAAAGGTAGGGCAGAATATTCAATCAGTGTGTGTCCCTCAGAAAACAACTTTGAGTTACCAGAATCCAAATATCCCTATAAGAACATGTCCTATTTAAAAAAAAAATAATTTTTTTTAAAAAACACTTATTTTTAAATTGAAATTTAGAAAGACTAGGAGGAATGATTATTTTCCATTAGTATTTACCTCACAACATTTGTAAGGCATAAACCAGAGTTCAGCTTTGAACTGCGAGCTCTCACAGGAGCCTCTGCCCTGTGCCAGATTGATGTCCAGCTGCTTTGTTTAGACCTTGCTAAAATGCCTTTTTCAAATGGTGAATGTGTCATTTCTAGCAGAGGTCTCCAAGAGAAGATTTGGGTTTAATGCACGGCAATAAAAGGAGGAATATGAGAATTCTTGCTCTCTTTAGTGTCAGCTTTGGTTAAGACGTATGAATGCACATGAATAGTCTTGTCAGAATCTCTGGGGCTACTGACATTCAAGATCTAACATATTATTACTTCTGACCAGAACATTAGCTGCTGTGCAGGAAGGAGAAGGGAAAGAGGAAAAGGGGATAAAAGATAGGACCACTCCCTAATCAGACAGAAATTGTTACGGATTTCTCTGGCTGGAAATCTCTGAACAGAACTTTTCTGCTGTGAAAATACAATTCTCATGTTCTCCAATCTGAATGTACAGCTCTTTAAAATCTGCAGCAGGAAAAACAAAAAACAGCATATTTTAATGCCTGATCTTGCTCATTTTACTCATGGAAAGGATCCTAATTAACCTATAAATAATGACTGTACAACCAAGTATTACATCCTTGTAAAGGACATGTGCTAAGGAAGGTTTGAGCATTTTAAGCTGTTAACTCTCTTTTTTACTATTCCTTTGAATCACTAGTTTCAGATACAAATAAGCTAATAAAAGATTTAGTTAAAATAAGGTAATTTTCATTCCAATCTCAGCATATATCAAATCTGGATACCACTACAATTGGAAGATTTTTTCATCAGAAACAAAAATCTTCCAATGTCCTCCTGGCTGAATGAAAGTGTATTTCAGATATTTTTAGTTGTTGTTGTTGTTCACAATTCATTTCTAAATAAATTGAAAATATTCAGGTATCGGTTTAATCAGTGTATTTGTGCTCTGAAATTTGAGCTGAAGGAGTACAACCAAAGGGAATACCCTGAGCTTTGTGCCTGAAACCACCTTTAGAATCCATTCAGGAGCTCCAGCATGTCAGACAAAGGCCTGGATTTGTTTGGAGCAATAAATGATAGAGACCTTTACATATTTGAAGTGCAACAGATGGGCCTCCAAGGAGAACATAATGACTGGCAGACAGCACTTCGTTAGAGTGGCTTGGAATGTCTTCAGCAATTACACAGGCAGTGTTTTGGGGGGGAAGCCCTGTCATCTCTGTGATTCTTCCCATGGAAATAGCTGTGACTTCCTTGTTTAGATGCTAAAAATTAGTATCTTCTAAAATCCAGGCAGTGAACTGGAAAAGGAAGCACCTTTGGCCTTCCCAAGGCTACTTGAGATGAGGCTCTACCTGAGAAGAGATGTTAGTAGAAAAAAAAATCAAATCAGAATGAAGGGGAAAGAACTTTGGGCACATAACTGTAAAACTGTTAATCCATAGCCAAGTATTCCATGGAAGTGTAATTCAGGAAAAAAGCCAAGGTTTATCACAAGGTCCAGCAGACTTTTAGAAATTGGGAGGTCTATGGGTACAATAGGCAGAATATCAAGGGGAAAACACCCTAAAGACCTAAATTACTGAATAAGAACCTCCTTTCTTTGGGAAACTGGTGATTTTCAAGGACTTCTTCTCCACATGAAACACTGGCTGCAGTTCTTTAGGGCAGGGGAAAGGGAGTTTTTTGAGGCTGTCCATTCTTTCCATTTTCACAGACAAGCTATTTCACAAGCCAGCAATTAGTAACTACAATTTCAAAGAAAGAGTAATAAAATGATGATTTCTATACTGTAGTTTTACTTAGAACAATTTCACTTCCATCTCTCCCATCCCTGAAATTCCAGGGTTAATCTGTTCTGTTCTAAAACCTTCTCCACCAAATCCACCCCAAGTAAAATTTTATGTGGCAAAATAACCACAACAGAAAAACGTGTCCTTTCCCAATGTAACTTAAATGTTGATGGAATCATAACTGCATTACTCCCTCTCCAATTAGCAGCAGCATTCTTTATGTTTGCTTACGAAGCGTGAACCGTTCGCTTGTCACTACAAAGACCTTCTGTGGAGGATTTAAAACTACAGCCCCAGCAATTAAAATGACAACAACAGAGGTGGATTGGTCACATCATGACACAAAATATCCAGCTGTTTCTTTCCAGCAGAAGGACATGAAATATTATGAGCAAATTTTGACAGGCTACGTAATGCTGCTAGATATTCTGGTGAAAATATGGACTTCCAAGAAAGGAGGAGACTAATGTGAAACTATGTCTAAGCTCAGATTGATTTTTTCCACATGATCAGGATTGTCATTCATGCTTTTTATCCGTACAAATTTCCTTTTTTATTTTGCTTGAACTAGAGATACTCTATTTTGTGAGAAATTCTCTAAAAATAAGAAAAATTTGGGGGGTTGTTCTCATAAATAAGACAAAAAGTGATCTGATAGGGTTAGAACTAGAAAACCAGATCTTAAACTTACTTAATTTGGTTGTGTTAAAAACATTCTAAGAGTTTATTAAGACCATAAGTCTCATTACAACAAACAGAACATCTTTTATAATCACATCTGTCTGCTGCTGGTTCCTGTCTATTCTGCTTCCCAATCAGATGGGAAGTTATTTGTAATACATGTAGGGAATGAAAAAAATTATTTAAAATATGTATTTAAATAATAACAAAGGCTGAAAATTAAATGTTTCAGGTTAGTTTTTCCTAGTTAGAATTATAGAAGATAGACATAGAGATATAAATATAGATATATTTATCCTGAAGTGATAAGGTAGCTTTGATTTCTAATACAGCAAGAGAAAGTAACTGACACACACAGAACCAGACACTCAAGGGGAGGAAAACACCCCAAACACTGTCTGTAGAATCCACCTACAGATATGTCCTTGGAGAAAAACTGATGAGAAAATTATCAGGCAAATTTTCCTTGCTGTTTCCTTCCTGGAAGTTTTTCCCTCTCATAACAGCACAGCCATGGCAAGTGATATGTATCAGAATTCATCCATGCAGTATATTTTGCACATCAAATTGATTATCCATGTCTTCTTAGGCAAACACAGGAATGCAGAAAACATGTCAGCTGTTATAGACAGAATACATGGGCATTGCACTCCTTACTTTACATTTAGAAAGAACAGCAGATAATGAGCTCAACCACTACCTTGAGAATAAATTTCATTTCCAAGTTCAGAAGTATCTCTGGATTCCCATCTGTTTTGTGAACCAGAACTTACAGGTTGTTTATAACATTTGTCTCCTGAGCTGTGTTTGTTTCCAGAGTAATTGTCATAAGTGGGCAAAGGCTTTGATGTCCTCATCTTCATGCCTTCAACCGTGTTGACCTTACAGACACAAAGCAATCACTGCAAAATACAGAAGACAAGGAAAAAAAATGAAGAAATAAAAGCCCTGTCTTTTTCCTTCCCTAAATTTCCAGAATTCATCTTCAGATTCATGCCTGTAGCAAAAAAACGAAATGAAACAAAACCAACAACAACAACAGAAACCAAAATCAAAAACAAACCACTAAAATATTACCCTTCTGTATATTTCATCTGATATAATTGCTTGGCAACAAACACCTCTTACTCTGCAAGTATTCTGCAGTGAATTTATTCACATCAGGAAAAACACATCAGAAAGTAACTAGTTTGAAAGTTTCCAAGTCAGACACCAGAGACAAAAAACCAGAGTGACAGAACAAATGGGCAAGACACAACCTGGAAGCATTCTGAGGAGACACAGACTATGTTCTCATCAACAGCCACAAGAAATATTAGACAATGAAAAGTTTTGAGATCAGCAGGTTTTGACAAACCAGTAATTAATCCTGAGCTGTAATAATAATAATGTGTGTTTGAGCAATACATCATAAATATAATTATTCTTTGCAGATCTTTGCTATTCATTACAAAGGAAAATGTTCCATTCCACACTGTGGCCAAGTGGTATCAGACACCATTCTTATTATGATACCAAGCACAGGATGTTCAATCTCAGAAGGTGAATCCCTACACATTGGGGTGAAAAAGCCATTTGAGATTAAATATATATATAATATAATATAATATAATATAATATAATATAATATATATAATATTATATAATATAATATAATATAATATAATATAATATAATATAATATAATATAATATAATATAATATAATATAATATAAAATATATTTATAAACATAAAATATACATAGTACAATAATTACATTTCATTTTGTGGTTTACAAAAATCTATTCACGAAACTACAGAAGCTTGTCAGGCATTCTTTATTTCCAAAGAATAACACTCATCCATGAAAATGGTCTGATTTAAATCACTGTGAGTGCTGGCAGATGACAATTACGAGATAAAGCAAATAGTGTCTTACTGGAAATCAAAGCTACAAGTTTGAGTCACTCTTACTACTGAGGTACTCACACCTGACCAGGCTTTAGGTACTGGAAATGCAATCTGCTTTCAAACACATTGGTCTTGCTGTTGGCAAAATTCTTGCAGGATTTTGCAGTGAAATCAAAACAAGTCCAAATCTGGAAACTTGAAAACTTGGCCCCTGAATGACTGCAAAATACAAGTAAAACATGAAGTTGCAATCACAATACAGGAGTGGAGTTCCAGCTGGAAGTGCAATCAAACCTCTTTGTATGAAGTGAGTGACCACTACTCCATATTGTATTTGGCATCAGACTTCAGAACCTGTGGAGCAGAAACCAGGGAGAAGGCAAAACTTGTGTTGGAAAATCTGAAAGATTCAGGGAGGAAACTGGTGGAAAGTGCCCTTCCTCTCCCTGCAGACACTGCACAGCCCCAGCAACTGCAATGAACAAATAAAAGGCAAGAAAACACAACCTATGTATCCTAAACCCACAAACTGCTGGAAGTACAAGAGAGAATAATCCCCCCCTCCTGTCAGGTAGAGCAAAGCCTGTGTCAACAAGAATCACACGCTCCCACTGTTGCTCAACAGATGTACTTGAACTAGAGATAAGGCACTTCAAAACTCCAGGGAAGTTATGTGCAAAAGGTGTTGCCTCCTGTGCCTCTTTCCATGCAGGGAAGGGAACACCAGGCAGCATTCAGACACCTAATTCTGCAGTAAGTGAGGAAAAATGAGCAAAAGGATTCTTGTCAATACCAATTATCCAGAGTAGAAGATGGGGACAACCTTATAAAGCAAAAGCACAGATAGAGTCAATACATTTATAAATTAGAATACAGCAAGTACACTTACCACAGGAGAAAACTGTGAGTAAATCTCTGTCCTGAGGAAGGCTTTAAGCCCATTTTCCTTTTTTCAAACCTCTAAGTCCCATAAATGAATATTTTCTTGCAGATAAAGTGGTTGTCTTCACCTTTAGGCAGCTGCAGTAAGAACAAAACATATCCTGCAAGGAGGTTTTACTCCTGAGGGTAATCTCCTCAAAGAGTGAGGAGAAAACACAAGCTAAAATCACTTGCACAATCATGTTTCATAACTGTTCCTAGTCTGGTGGTATTGGTCCTCCCTGAGTACAAAAAATGCACAAACTTTTCTCCCTCTTCTACTAAGAGGGAAAAAAAAAAATCTGCTTATCTTTGGATACACAGAGAGTTTGGAGGAGCTCCAAACAATGGAGCACTGTGTGCCCCACTCATCACACAGACACTGAAGAAAGAGTGTAGCAAAGAATGCACAAAGTATGTAATTACTGTTTCACAAGATAATTCCATTATTAATACATCCCCAAAGATAGCATGCACAGCGCTGCAGTTTAATTAGATGGTAACTGGAGGGGGTTTGAATTTATGAGGTAATAAATATATTTTGGACTAATAAACTCCAAGGCTGAAGTGTTTATTAATCTAGAATATAAAGATTACATAGTTGATAGGAGACAACCTCAGGTTGCGCTGAGATGCCTGTTGTTTATACACTTCAAAATTAATATTTTCCTCCTTTTAGGAGCTGTATCAGAAAGCTAAGATTGGTGTGGATGGCATTGAAAAATACTGAAACTGCCCAACAATTCTGTGTTCTCAAAGGCAAAGGCTATTTAAGTCTCAGCAGATGGTGTGGTTTTAAGGTTTCACCTTTTAATCAATTTATCGCCTCCTAAATGATTAAGTACTGCAAATAAACTCCCTTCTGACACTGTCAGTGCCTCATTCTGATGGTAAAAAACACAGATTCCCTTGTAGGATAACCAGAGCTTCACAAGACTATCAGATCTCTCCTCTGTTCCCCCCAAATACTCAATTCCATCTTTATTTTCCTGCTTTTGGATTCACCTGCAAGACCACATGAACAATTTTGGTTTGGTGTTGAATTTTTTTCTCTCCTGAACATGATTGTAGAAACTTTTTGCCTAGTGCAGCACATTAAGGATTTGGAAACCAACTGTTGTGAGGATTTATATCCCAAACAGCTGTGCCAGGAAGTCAGAGGAATCAAATGGTCTCATTTATTAACTTGTCCTCAGGTAGTTACAACTAGAGCTTTATAAATTACCACCCAGGTCAGTCCATTTAAACCACATCTCTCTGTTACTTTGGAAGAGCCAATGCCTCACTCAGGAAAGACAGAAGACTGGGTTTGGTCCAGGAAAAAATGGGCATGATTGAAGTCAAAGACCAGTTTTGTTTAAGCCAAAGCTAAATTTAGGCCTGAGGGAATTACAGAGAAAGAAAAAGGAAGAAAGACAAGGAGAAAGAACTTGTGGGATCTTGCAGGTGAATCAAGACTGATGAGTACAAAGGAACTGTTCCCATACCTGGCTGAGTGATGGATGCTGGACAAAAGCAGAGGAATCCTGGATGTGCCAAAGGAACCATGGGGTAGGAAAAGAGGAGAGGCAAGACACACCACAGCTTGGATTCATTGGTGAGGAAACACCCTGCTTCTCTGAGCCAGCCTATGGTGGGTGCCAGCAGGAAGAAAGTATCATTACCAAGGGCTGCAAAGATTTAAAGATATTTAGGAAAATGTTTAATAAGGAGCTTAGGTGATCCAAATAGCATTGGCTGTGTGTTCAGACAGAGTCCAGGGCGGTTCCAGAGGTTCAGGGCAAAGGACTCAACACTAATTCTTGAAAAGAACCTACAGATAAATCGTGGAAGATGACTAAGAACCATTTCCAAAGCTCCTGCTTTTTCATTGACAGGCTTATATCCTCTCACCAACTGAAGCAAGTCATGGAACCAACTTTGCAATATTAAATCTCTAGGCAGTGTGTTACTCATACAGCTTATGAAGATGTCTTTACCCTCTGGAAAAACAAAGTTTAAGAAAAATGGCTCCATCTTTGGGGAACGGTTTAAGTTTCAGGATAACTACATTAGGAAATCTAACTCTATTACTTTCTATCTTACATTTTATTACAAGATTGGTAATAGGAAATTACCAAATAAAATTGGTATTTTACTTGGTAATTTTTTTCCATGGGCCTCGTCTAATATGAAAGATGGTGATCATCAAATTTATTCAAGTTTTCCTGTCAACAACATCATTAACCAAATCCCTCAATTTCAAAGTAAATAAAAGCATCTGGGCTTCTCGCACAGCAAGACTGACTTGCATATTTAAGCCTCATATACAGATGAATCTGCACTGGACCAAATTTGCATATTAATGAAGGACTAATTGCTCTTTGCAGTCAATTTTATGCAGATGAATTTACTCCTCTCAGTACAATTTTCATAATGTTCGGAAAGAACCAAAAAATGTAAAAGTTTGTAAAAGTACACAAATGTTAGACAATCAAGGAAGAAATATCCTAATGGCTTCCAACAGCTTTACATTAAATTGTATATAATTCATCTTTTATACTGTTGCTTTATTTTAACAGCCTCCCACAAAGAACAGAAAAATCCATGGAATAACTTCAGCCTATTCCCCCTCCTCGGTCTCAAATTTTAACAGCTTGTAATAACCCATTATATGATCCAGTTTCCAGCTGCAAGGATGGAGCCTGAATTTTTAGGAGAAGTTAAATTTGCTAAACAGGAATTTATTTCCTCCCAGTCATCCTCATGCCACAGAACAGTTAGGACAGAGTTTGTCCCACACATTTTTAAGGTGGATTCTATCCAGTTTTGCACTGTTAAGGAAAAAAGGCCCAAATCCTTGTTGAGTCTCCCCTGAGGTAAAGTACAAAATACCAAAAAAAGGGACAGGAAAGCTCATGGGAAAGAAAAACATCAACAAATTCTGAGGAGAAAATGATAATATTAGGGGGGAAAGGGGAAAATATATGGAAGTAGAAGGGGAAGGGAAGTGGAAATGGAAAAGTCTGGCTAAAAAGAAAAGGAGGATTTAAGAGAAAGTTCAAGGCAAAGTAAACAAATAAAAGAAGAAATTCAGCCACAGATGTAGCAACAAAAAAGAAAAAAAAACAGAAAAGAACATGAAATAAGAAATAAGAATCAGAGAGCACACGATACATAAAGAAACAAATAAAATAAAATACAAAACCCACAGTTTTTCCTAATTCTGCCAGAACAGAAGGGCAGAGTTAGTGGGAATGCATCAGGAATCTGAATTTGCATGTATAGCCTTCCTCCTGCCAAAGAAAAAAGCCTTATTTTAACTGTGAAGACTGATAACCATAATATTTATATGTATCATAAAATCACTTACAGAAGACTATTTTATTCAGAAGAGGAATAAAAGAAAGTTACATCTTTAAATGACTTGGAGGCTTTTTGCAGAAGGAACATGGGAATACAGTTCATGTTCCCCACATCTGCCATATCTTTGATTGCATTTTTTGCCCTTCTCTACAGCTTTTGCTGTTTTAACATCTCATTTTTGAGGCAGAAAGTATCCACACAGAAATATGATTGGTTTATAGTTTGTATGGTTTATAGTATGGTTTATAGGAACCAAGAAATCTTTTGTGTTTTTATTCTATTTCTTCTCTAATTTCCTATTATCCCAGTTCCTGGACCACAATGAGCTTACGGATCTCCTATGATCCCACAGTTTGGTTCCTGAGAAGCAACAGTTGATAAACAATATTACATTATCAAAATAAAATAATCTTCAGAATAAGCATCTTTTGACTGAGCTGTTGAGTTCTTCCAAAGAAGAATCAGAAATTCTGCCAGGAGTTCACTTTGCCATCTCTCCTTCTGGTCTTTCCCACCTTGATGACAGAAGCCACAACACCTAGAGAATTTGTCTGGGATAAATTTGTTCCACCATGAGCAATAAAGGCAATGGTTCTGTGGAGGTAAGATCCCATTGCACAAAGAAAAAGAGGAAAGAAAAGGCTTTAGGACAGAGGAGTTGGCAGAAAATATCAAACCAAGGGGAAGGACAGGGAAAATGACAAGAGGCTTTCATAAGCACGCAAAAAACGAACAGACCACAGAACAATGACAAATAGAGTTGTAAAATAATAACAGTAATAATTGGAAAAGAATGACAAATACTCCACCAGCAAAATATTGCAATGCTACTGCTGAAGAATCCTAGCTGAGGAAACAGGACTCAGTTCAGCTGGTCAGCCTGGAGGTTTGGCTTTTAAAAGTTATTTAACAACAAATTACAGCTCTTTGTGAATACTTTGAATTCTGGATTATTAATTCAAGCTATTTCTCTATTTTTCTCTTAGAGGAGAAGGAAGGGAAATGTATCTCCTTTATAAATTCTGTACATTTGAAAACCTGCTCTGGGCACTCCCCCTCTTTCCCCAAATATGTCTGGTTCAAGCGATTAAGGCTGTGTGAATGTAAACAAAGATAATTATTCAAACAAGAACAAGATGTTCCACCCAAAATTATTTGCTTCCCAGTGTCTGAGATGCCTACTTCTAATCATCAACAAAGGTTAACCTGACCAGATTTAATTAACCACTTAATACAATGATAAAGATGCATAAATAATGGAGGAGGAAGCCCATAGAGGCAACAGTGAATCCAAATAAATCCCTCCAGCAAGCACAAAGTCTGGGCTGTAATCACCTGATTACACTGATGTAAGAATTCCCAAGTTCCACTAGGCACAGTTTTGCACTTGTCTATGTGGCACTTGATTAATAGATGATTTTAATCATTAAACAAACAGGAAAAAAAAAGAAAGCAAGAAACCACATCCCTAAAATTCAATGATAAAATGAACCCAGTGATATTTCTTATTACTGTGCTTCAAATCCATACATGAAGTCAGCTGGTTTGATCATTTGAGGAGTACAGGAAAATAAATTACTATTTGCTCATTTATAAATATATATCTATATATATATCAGGAGATATCAGACAGATATTTTCAAGACAGTTACTATTTTCAGTGAAAAAAAAAAAATCTTATTCTGGAATATTCCCTAGTAATGAAACAAAAGCTTTCTATTACAACAATAAAGTAATTTGCAAGTATTAAACACTATAAATTGGAAATATTGCAAAATATTTTACATTTCAAATAATGTTAGAAAATATTACTGGCCCTGGATCTCTGGTTAATGTGTGCAGCACTTGCTGGTTGAGGCAGCTTGTACCCAGAGTGTTACCAAATAATGAGTATTAAAGAGGAGGACTGGGCATCAGCCCTTCCATTTTCTCTCAGTGAAGTTTAAACAGCCCTTAAAATAAACAACTCAGGGCAAACCAACAGATCTGCTATTGATTCATTCTGTTCATAAAAAGTAACAACATCGTGGTAAATTCAATCTAGTCAATGAGAAGTTTATGAGCCTAAATATATCAAAAGGGCAATGAAAGCTAATATATAGTGATTAAATAAAAATCTGTGAGGAAAAGACACCCAACTTTCAATTCCAGGGCAGTGGAATCATCTCCTGATGAAATATGGGGTTTGAATTGTTTCAGAGGACACTGCAGCCATTTGCCCTTTTTAACAGCCTGGAAGTTCACAAGGCAAGATTAACTTATAATTTAACTGAAGTGGATCTCAAATAAAGTTTTTTGATTAAAATCTCCATTTCTGTGCCTCCTGGCAGTGCCAATATTGCTGGAACAGGACATCAGCTGCAACGCCAGCGACTCTGGAATGCACTGCCATAAACTGTAAATCAGCTTTGTCCTACTTTAATATTGGTTTAACAATAAAAAAAAGAACTTTGATGTTTAATATTTAAATAGTACAATTATCCCTTTAGAACTGAGTCCAGAAGGGCCCTTCATGGGTACACAGTGTGAAACAACAATGAAGGGAATGTGGTTTTGCTCTACAAGGAGGCTTTGATTTGTAGGACCCAGCTGAAAGGTGAATTTGTGTGCTGAGGAGATGCCACAGTGACTCTGGAGCAGGGGAAATGCTCTCCCACCGTGCCATGGACAATACTGAACAACAAGGCTCAAACACTGTCAGAGCAGTGAACAACATCCATGACAGGAATTGTCCCCAGCTGGCCTTGGTTTGGAAAGCCAGACACAAGGGTGGCTTTCTCCAGCATTGTTTTGGAAGTCAAGGTTAGAGCAAGTAAAGTCTCCCTTTCCATTTTTCTCTCCTTCCTATCATTTATAACTTCAGGGTGAGTGAACACAGAAAAGTGTCTGTTTTAGGGAGGAACACTTCAATCATGAGTTAAGTATTGTCCCTGAACTGTGAAGGAGGCAGTTTCAGATGCATTTTTCTGTTTTGGGGGAAGGTCAAAATCCTGCACCTGCACTGCACCTAGGGGGTTCAGGTTGATTCTGAATGCAACTGCCCATTTCTGCCAACCTTGAGGACTCTGTTGTGCCCAGCAAGGGGATGAACAGTTTGTCTAGACAGAGGAGGATCCGTGGATTACATGGATTACACGGCTGGAGCACACATATGCAGGCACTTGTGAGGAACAAAAGCACAGAGCTATTTACCACCTCACACAGATGGGTAAGTCCACTCTGGAGATCTCTGCAGACTTGTGAAATCAGGATGACGTGTCTGGAATTCTTCCTCTCCTCTCCACTGCTGAAGTAACTCAGGCAAATGCAAGTTGGCAGCTCCTTTAAAGACTCCAATTTACCCATTTTACATAATAACTTTCAGCTGCATTAAACACAAACACACAAGAAACCCAGGTAGCACCAACAGTGAAATCTAAATTTGGATTACTCACAGAGAAAACACACAAAGTTTGAATGATTTTGCAATTAAGTCAGAAGCAAACTGAACTAATTTTTACACTAAAGTGGATTCTCCATGGGACATGTCAGTCTGCACCCAGAGAGGAGTTGTAGGAGCAAAGTTCTGCACTTCTTGAGGCAACTGAGGAATGGCAAATACATCCACACACCTCTAGACCTACTGGTTCCTCCCCAGTCCAGAAAAATCCAGTCTCCTGGGGCACTATAAACCCCTTCTCAGAACAGCCCTGTCAAAAGCAAAGTGCAGATTTCTGTACTAAAGGATCCTCTTATTCCATAGCTCCTGCTGAGTGTTTGCCCCAACCCTGAGTGTGTGTGGCTGTCCTACTCCTTGGATATTCATTTATTTGTTGCTGGGCATATGAACACCTGAAATCATAATCCTCAGATTAGATTCATTTGATATTTCAATTTCCAATCTAAATTTTAATTAACTCTTTTACTTCAGCATTAGATTTTACCATGATGAATTATTTGGAGGAATACACAAAAGAAGAAAGTTGCTCTATGGAGTAACTGAATTTAAAAATATTCACTTAGAAACTTTCTTTTTCTCCATACTGTTAAAAAAGAATGTACAGACATGGTAACAGAAATATGAGGTGACAGAAGAGAATGGGCCAGATCCTTGTGAATCCACTCCATTTTACCAGGCACATAAAACTAAACTGGCCTCAGCTTGATGTAACTGATATATCTCAAAAATGAATGTTAGACATGAAATGGCAAAAAGGCTGGTGAGCCAGATTTATCTTACAGGTTTTGGGTTTGTTTTTTTTTTTCTATTATTCCCTCTCTATATTTTCAGAATATTCTTTAATGTTCTTTCCTTTCAGAAGTAAATGTAAGTTTCTCAAAATATTATTTACAAGCTCAGCTGCAACATCCTCCATGGTAATTCAGTCTGGCTGTTTGTTTCCCTTTGTGAGGAATAGTTCTGCTTGAGTTCTCCACGGAGAAGAAAACAACTCTGTTTTCCTGATATACTTCAGATTCAAATTATTGAAGTGCAGGATGGAGAAATGAATTAGATAAAGGCATGGGAAATGTGTAATTCATACCTGGCTGCTGTGATGAGCTCGCTGGTAACTGATAAAGCTGTGAGTGTTAAAAGAACTTTAATGAGAAATGATATTGACCTAAGTGCCAGTGTTATCAGCACTACTGCATTTAAAATAAATGAAATTTAAAAATATTTAACTTGCACTTCAGCAGTGTCCACTGACTAATATTTTAGTTTAATATCTACCTCTGATTTCCATTAAAATACCTTTAGATGAGAATATCAAAAGCAATTTCCATCTTAGTTTCCTACAGTCCTATAACTTCTTATGCTCTCATGATTAAAAACAATTCCAACTTCTTTCCTCTGTGTAACTAATTCAAAGACAGATGTAACACATAATTTTTGCTACCTCCTCTCTAAATTAACAACACTGTTTCTGTTCAGCCTTTTAGAAACTTCTCAACTGCAAACAACAGTGTCCAGAGCAGAGGGGCTGTTGTTCCTGGTTATTGCTGGAAGAAACTCAAACTATAAAGTAACTCTCATGATTAAGGTGATCTATCAATAATCATCCATTTTTAAGTGCAGCATCCTATAAATCCTCCTAATTAGTAAACTAGATGTCTTCTTTTTAGCAAACAATCCCCAGCCTCCCTCCTTATTTATTTCCCTGAATTCAATTATGTTTGCACCTGCTGGCCCAACCACCTAAATGACAGATTCTGGATGGAAGGGAGAAGCTGGGCCATAAACAATAATTTCATTATAGTTCAATTTAAAGTATTTTCCTGCACCTATTTTCTCTGCTTTATGAAGAATGTTGATGCTATTTCCTTCTCTGTGGCTCTGCTCTCCTGTCAAGAGATGCAGCAGCACCAGCAAGAATTTAACACTGCTCCCAATCTATCCTTCACTGCTGACTCCATAGAAATCAAAGCTGAGATTTTCCTGGAGGGGAAGGACCATTAGGATAAAGAGGGAAGGAGTGATTTCCAAGTCTGGACTGAAAAACTGATAAAACTGATAAAATTAAGTTGGTTGCTAAAAAGGACTCTTTGTAAAATAAAGGCTAGGAAATATTCCTTTAGAATACAAAAGTAACAGAACTGCTTTTGCCATGAAAACCCAGGGAGGAAGAGGGATATTCCTGACGGTATTTACCTACCACCACAGGACTTTAAGATCTATCTACTCCCTAAGTCAAATTAGCTGCTTTTCCAAAAATCTTCTGGAATGAAATTCAGTCTCTGGATGAAAAATCCTGAAAATTTGGGAATGGAATCTAAGCCATTCTCTGCCTTGAAGGATTAAACAAGATAGAGATGGATGCTCAAAAGTTGAAACTCAAAAACATCCAAACCATGGCAGCTCTACAGTTCAGGTGTTCAAAGAAACATTTCCTCCCATCACCTGAAACACAGCATACCTTCAAAATACGTTCTGAAGCTGTTACACCTTGAATGTTAAGTCAATATTAGGCAGAATTATCAATTTACCATATTTATCTCACAATGAAGAGTAATTCAGGTGAGTGTGTAAAATTGGATTGTGTATAAATTAAGACAGTAACCAAAGGGGAGGCAAACAGGCAGCTAAAGCCCCTAAGAGAGGAGCCTTGGAGCGAGGAACTGCAGAACATTTTTATGTAACACGTGGGGAAACTGTGCAGCATGGGAGTTTTGAATGTTAATTCTGCAGCTGTACTAAATCCAGTGTGTCAGACTCTGTCTGCAAGCAAACCAGATTTAAGGAAGCACATTTCTACTGCAGCACTGGAGGCTGAAAAATGGTTAACTTGGTTAAGTTCATCAGGAGGAAGTTAATATAGGAGTCTAAGATGAATTCCAATATCACTATTGGAATCAAGTGAATATAACACTTCAGCAGTGTTTCACTTCAGAAGTAGTTCTTAGTTAAATAGTTAAGTACTTTCCTAAGTATTGTTTCATTAATTCTTTCTATTAATGAAGAAAAGCATCCATAAGCTAGAACTCTTCAATTAAGATAATCATTATCGTAAACAGATGTTTTGTTTGACAGTTTGAAGGATATGGGTGTGCTGTGATTTAGTTCAGAGATTTTAGTTCAACTGAAGATTTCAATTAAATAACCTCACCCTCACTCTAATTGTATTAATCACAAAATCACCATTCTGAGGGACAGAACTGGAGATGTTTGGTTTTTCTTTGTGACAGAAATGTAAACAAACTGCTGAGGACTGGGGTTAAGTACAGCAGGCAGGACCAGGGTACATGGCAGTGAGATAACACATGTGGCTTAACAAGCACCCTGTTATCTCCTTGGAGCAGACACAGGAGCTGGGCCTGTCCCTCACCCACAGGCTGCAGACAAAGGCTGGAGCAGGTTGAAAGTAATGGATCAACTTCTAATAAACCTCAACCACTGGAAATAACACACAGCCAGGTGTGATATAAATATGAAATGCAGATGGGGGAAGTTCCTCTTGTACGTTTGCAAATGTGGTCTTGTCAACTATAAGAATCTAAAATTCATCTCTGCATTTCCTCCTAAACCATACAAGCCTGGCCACTGTGCTTTGACCTAACTGAAAAAATGGTTGTTAATGATTGTTTCCAAAACAAAAATAATTTTCAGAGTTAGGAGTACTTCGATTTCACTTTACCTTCTAAATTAGTGTCCTAATTTTTACAGCCTAATTTTACAGACACGAGCAATTACTTTTGAATTTGGTAAGACATTTAGTCACTTGACCCTTTCAAGCAACAAAAAAATCCTTTTCATACTTGTAAAGTGTTATAGACATAATCTGGATAATCTAATTACATGACAAACATGGTCTGACTCATGGATAACACTTCCTAATGAACTAACACACACCTCTGTTAAAACAAAATCTTTTGTTAGAAAATGAGAAGAAAAGCCCCCCAATACCCTTAAGAGAATTTTAAATATTGTCACCAAGCTAAAAACAGCAAGTAAATATTAACTCTGTGAAGTGCAAAACAAGTTTTATTGACCCATGAGGTAAATATTGACTGAAATGAAGCAAATATTTATGTGCTGACGTTAAGGGGACGAATCCCCTTCACCACAGCAAACAAGATTTTGCCTACTACATTTCTAGGTTTGTATTAATTCCAAAAGGTCTGAAAGGAGATATTTCTTTTTCCAGACATCTGCTTTTTAAAAATAAAACTGTCTTTCCTCGGTGACAAAATTGGATGTGCATCCAGAGGGCTGGAATATTGTATAACACACAGGTTTGACAAATTGCTTTCAGACAGAAGAGTCACTTAACTAAAACCTGACCAGACAATAACATCCAAGACTTCCCTCTTTCATCCCTAAAAAGGTAAACAGAAAGTCAAAGTCCATTTTATGAGTTATGTTAGAAGATTAATTTAGGTGTGGAACATTAAATATATTGCTGTATATCGCACACATGGTGGGATTGCTCGGGCTGTCCTGTGCAGGGCCAGGAGTGGGACTTTGATCTCAGTGGATGCCTTCCAACTCAGGATATTCTATGATTTAACAAGGAAAATACAGAATAATTAAGGATGTAACTACTAGCAGGTACTACAAATGGAATATAAATTAACAAACTCATCTACTCCTTCCGGGTAAATCCACTCATGTTTACACACATGAGAATTCACTGTTCTATTGAACGATTCACACGGGGATTCACACGTTCAGATGAGCAAATTAAATGGAAAAAACCCCTAATTTTGAGAAACTTCAAAGATTCTATTGAAATTCCGGCACCTTTAAGGACACCCATTAGAGAATACCAACGTCACTATCATTACATCTTCTGACCTAAATACCTCCGTAATGGTCTAACAGCAGCAATTAACACACACCTCTCGAAATTCTTGAACAGCTGAATAATTTTTGAGTCACTGGATTTAACAGATCCGCCAGTGTCACTACAAGAAAAGCCCGGTTCAGGGAACAGCTTCTGCGCTTGGTTCTGATGACCACGGGAATCGCTCCTTCCTGCAGATAAAGACAGAGGCTGAGCACCCTCCTGTGCAGGGAGCAAAAACTACAGCTGCCCTTTGTGGCTCCGCTGGCTGATTCTCATTCAAGGCTATATCTTTGCCTAAAAAAAAAAAACCTCCGGGATCTAATTCAGCAGCTTTAGAACAATTACATGACACCACTGCAGTGGAATTACTCTCAGTTTAGAATGACTTCACAGGAATGAACACGCTGCTGTACACAGAGGGCTCGTAAGATTTCTGGAAACCTCAGGGAACGGGGTGATGTCATTGCAATACAAAAATATCTGCTTCAAATTCCTTGCGAGTCTCCTTGACAAAGCTTAGAGGATCAGAGTTCAGCAGTGAAACTCAGCCATCACCTCAGGAATGTTTTCAGAACTGGGCTTTATTCTTCACTGTCTCAGATACAGGAGCACAGGAGCTGTTTTCTCGTGCTCAAAATACAAACTGAACTCAGGGTTTGTAGAGTTGCAGGAGACAGTTTTTAAAAGATGGAGCACTCCAAGCTCAGGAAACATTCGAATTTTAAAGGTTATTTCAGCCTCTTGGCAGGACTTTCAAATCCTTCAGTTTAAACGAAACCCTCTTAATTTTGCAGAAGTCTTCCATACTCAAGCAGCATTTTGGGTAAAATGAAGACAAACCAATAAAGCCTTTGAATATTCAGGACATTCTGCTATTCTACAGACTTACCAAAAAGCCCATTTTTTTATCATATCATTAACTAAAATTGCTTTCTGTGTATCTGAGATCAGCTCCTTTAAATTCCACCACAGATGCACACCTCATTTTAAAGCACCAGTTCCTTCTGATGAAAAAAGGTGATACAAAAGGTGAAGATTGTAATCCCTTAACCTGCTCAGGTTTCTGCAGAGCTCCTTCAGGACACAAAATATGTTCTTCTACTCTCTCTGCCTATAAAACAAGCTCTCAGCAGCTTCTAGGACAGAGTAACTGTTGCTGCAGAGGTAAATACTGAGCTGCCAGGGCATCCCAGGCAGAGTTCCACAAAGATCAGAATTTGTTCCAATGTTTTCATGCACTGAACAACCCCAGAAAAAGCAGGTGCACACTGATCAAAGTGCTGATTGTACCAGTTAAGAAGGTACCACCACTTCCTGGGAGGATGAGAAAGTCTGGGATACTTCTGAGTGCATAAACATCTGAAAATGTGCCTGGGAACTCTGAAATTTATTGGCATCCTGGGAGTAGAATCCAAAGACAGACTGGTAAATTTACCACCAGGTATTCCATGACCTAATGGGTCCAATGCCCATGAGAAAATACTTCCAATTTTCTGTGAATAATCTCCCAAATCCCTCTTGTGTCAGGAGTTACTGAATCCAGAGGTCATTAATGGCAGTAGGAAAACATACCTGTTAAATAACAACATCTCTGAAGAGTTACACACCTTCTAATGAGCTGTGAATTGAAGATAAATCAGCAAGTGACCTGCATGAGCAAACACCACTGATTAATAAGCTGCCACGAATTAAGTTCATATTTTCAGTGCATGTGGCAATGAGAAACAGTTTGAGAACAACGTGGATTTAAAGCTACATTTTTACTTTAAAGCATTTTATAATTACAAAAAAGAAACAGCTGAACAAATCTTTTATATTTATACCCTTCCAAGCGATGTACAGAAGGCATGCATAATTTCCAATCATAAAACACTATTTAAAAATAAAAGATTTATAATTGCTTTCCCTGATTTGAGAAGCAAATTATGATTTTTTTTCAGATTGTCCTTCATAATCCAAACATGATGCGAGTGACTGACTGAGCAAAGAGTGGGAGAATGAACAATATGGCACAGCAGAAGCCAAACACAACAGGTTTGTGTTATCCTTGGAAGGATGGGGACATGGCCATGAAATTCTTTGAGTGCTTTCTACCAGGCATCTGAAATCTGCATTGGTGCTAACCGAAGCAGTATTGGGATAATTAGACAGAGAAATTACACAAATGAGAAAGGTCTTCTGAGTTCAGAGGGCCTACAGGAACAGGAGGCCTGTGGGTATGTTTAATACTTAAGTATATCTGTAATAACCAGCTCAGGTTTCTTTCAATTCATCAGCCACAGCCTGAGTGAAACACGGAGGATATGTGACCTGAACTTCCCAGTCAGGAAATTCTAAGCAAAGTTTCCAAAAACATCATAAAAGTAGACCAAATTGCCTTCTCAAAACCTACCTCCAAGAGACACAGAGATGCAGCCAGTGTTTTCAGCTACCTCTTTGAAAATAAAAGAGAAGCTTTGTTGTTAAATGGTGTCACTGAACACCAGGCCACTTAACTCCTCCAAACACATAGTTTTTTACTTTGTAAGATCTGTGTCTAAGGGCCCATCCTCTCCCTCTCCAGGGGTTACTGACCCCACAGCATTATTGTATTTAAACTTTGGAATTAAACCAGCATTTCTGTTCTAACTCAAAACAACACAGCACCAATTTTCAAAGCTGCTCAGATATTAGTCCCACTTTCCATGTGAGCTGCATACCTAAACACTTTTTCTAGAAAAATATCTGAGCCAGGGAAAACAGATGCCATTTCTGGATGCAAACTAATTTATTCAAGAGCATATTTCAAAAGAAAACCTGTATCTATTTCATTCCAAGCCTCTCCCAAGAACTACAGCAGTATTAACTAGGGCAGTGCTTTCCTCAGGTTTCCTGGGAGGCAAAGCCAATTTCCAGACAGCAGGACTCCCTTAATCGCCACCGACAAGTAATGATACCGCAGTACACATATATTTTTATGTACATCCCTTCATCTCCTTCCTTATTATTACCTTCCCAGATTAATTTTAATTGAGGCTTTCAATAAAAAGCAACAGGAACCTCCCCCCTCGTTTTGGCGGGGTTGAGGCTGAGGGGAGGCGCCCCCCCCGACCCTCACGGGCCATGACGGGGCGAAGGCCGCGGCGTTGCCAGAGCAACGCCCAGCTCGAAGCCTTCCTCCTCCTCACTCCTCTTCTTCCTCCTCCTCCTCCCCTCACGGCTCCTCCTCTTCCTCCCCCCGCCGCGCCCTCTCACACCCCCTCGGCCCCGGCGATGGCGGCGGGCGGCGGGCGGGAGGCTCCGGGCGCCCCATGAGGTACCGGGGAAGGGGCGGGAAAGGGGCCGCCCCCCGCACCCCCTCACAGCGCAGGGCAGGGAGGGGGACACGGGGACGCGGCGACGCGGCTCCGAGATCAGCCTTTCCTTCCCTGTGCGGGGTCCCGGCGGTACAAACCCACCCGAGGGGTTCCCAGGACGAACCTTCCTGAGGAGTTCCCGGCGGTTCAAACCCTCCCGGGGGTCCCGGCGAGGTGCGGGAGCAGCTCCCGGAGCGCGGGGGGAGCAGCGGCCCCGGGAGAGACGGTGAACGTTCGAAGGGGCCTTTCTCAAGAGCCTTATTTTAGCTAATTTTTGGAGGGTAGAACAAAATCTGTGTGGGTGCGGGAGTCTTCTCTGAAATCCCATGTTATAACTCGGTGATTTGAAAGTTTGCTCGGCGTACTGCCAGGGGCGGCTGCGATCCTCCAGCTCCGGCTTTTTAAACACCGAGCTGTCAGTTCTTGCAGAACCCGGCCCCAAAACACCAACTGCAGTGCAAATGAGGTGTCTTTTTTACTCCTTCCTGTAAAAACATTGCTCAGTAACACTGTTCACACAAGTCAATACCATCTCCGCTTCATCGCGTTTATTCATGTGCAAAAAAAATACAGAATGAGAATTTTGGTTGTTTTGAAGTATGATGTCATCTTTGACCAACAAAAAATAGTAGTAGGAGCAGTATTTGTAAATATTAGTATGTTCTCATATTTATGTGTTAAAGTGATTCTGCTCTTTAATGTTACCTTCTTTTTAAAGGCTAAAGAATTTGAGGTTTGTGCAAATGCATCCAGAACTTTTTGGTGTGCAAAACCAGTTTTGCTTTGTTTTTGTATCCCCTTTGAACCTAGCTGTGAAAAAAATAATTTCAAAGAGGAATCTGTAAGAGTTTGAATAAGGAGGAGGATTATAACAACATTCTCAGTGTTTCAATATTACTCCATAGTGACAAGTATTGTGTCAAATTCAGCTTCAAGGCATTCTCCAAAATCATTACTCTGATGTCACACCAGTCCAGAGAAGTTGATTTAACCCTATTTGATCTGTGTAAAGATTCACAGAGAAATGAAAAACTGCCCAGAAGACAACCAAAAGATGCCAAAGGAAAAATAAATCAAACCTCATTTGGCTGCATTTCATTTTTCCCTCTTTAAAATGCTTCTTAGAAAATGGCCTAACCTGGTTCTGCTCCCTTCCCCAGACAGGATAATCTCATTAATCTCATAATGGCCCTCAGTTTTGAGCATGCACTGGCTTTTGGCTGGACGTGTCTGAACCAGCGCTCACCAATTAATGGTTGCATGGAAATGTACTCCCTGCTTCCTTCCCATCAGTGTTTGCTCCTTTTCTGGCCCACTGCTGTTGCTATTTTTGTGAAATTATGCAGCACTTCCAAGATCTCTCCTGTACAAGCCAGTGCTGGTCTCCTGTCCAGCAGATTTTGCTGTTCTGATTCGCACTTTTAGCTGTTCCTAAGGCAGCCAGGTCACTGCAGGCTGGGAAACCAGCACGTGGAGGGAAGGAAATCATTTTACTATGGGACATAGGAGGTTGTCCTGTGGAGAGTGGGTGTAAACCAGAGAACAAACTCAGGCAGGATCTCAGAGAATCTTGTCTTCATTCAGTCGCTCAGTACAACCTACTGGATTTTTATTTTCCTGAACTATTTATCTATTTCTTTAACTGTCCCTGTTTATATCCCGCTCTAGGAGACACAAATTAGAAAAACCTCCAGGAGCAAGCTCCACCATGCAACCCGACTGCGCCCATCTCCACAGCATCCAGGGGAGCGGCGGTGACTCCTCCTCGCCCAGGCTGTCGGGAGAGGGCTCCTGCCACCCCAGCACCGGGGACGTGCGCATCCAGCTGAACTCCAGCGCGGGAGAATCCAGGGAAAACGCGAGCTCCCGGGTCTCCAGGCCGGACTCCCAGAGCCGCTCCCACGGGCACGCCCATGGCGAGGCAGGAGGGCTCGAGGATGCAGCCCCGGAGCCGGAGGAGCAGGGCGGCAGCTCCCTGTCGGAGCTGCGGTACCTCCTGCAGTGGCTGCACAAGAGCCTGCCCTACCTCCTGATCCTGTGTGTCAAACTCCTCATGCAGCACATAACTGGTAGAGTAAAGCAAAATCAGCTCGGAGGGAGCAGACCCTCCTCCCTTCCCCCCACCAAGAAATGTACTAATAACCATGCCTGTAATGTAATTCAATTTATTTTTAGCTTTATTTTTATTTGCTTTATTCATCAGAAAGTGAGATTTACTAAACTACATTTCAGTGGCTTCTGTTTCCTTTGCTGGCATATGTACAATGTGCTTAATTATTCTGGCTTGAGAGTCTGAGCTATTAATTCTAATTACAAAGACATATTAGAAGTGACTGCTTTTTAACCCAGTTCAGTGATTTTTTTTTTTTCTTTTCATGTTTATAACTGATCCTATTTTCCTAATAGGCATTTCTCTTGGAATTGGGCTGCTAACAACTTATGCATATGCAAACAAAAGCATAGTAAATCAGGTTTTTCTCAGAGTAAGTATCACCCTATGCAACAAAATTCTTTATGTTAAGCAAGACTTAAACAAGTTAATCCATTTGTGAAAGAAATGTGAATGGAGATGCTGTTTTATTTACTTAATAATATTAGGTATTAAGATGGAAGTTAAGTCTTAATGCCTCTGTACAGGGGAGCTACTCAGATAACAACATTTGCAAAATTCAGGAGGGTGGGATTTTTTTCTCCTCTGACTTTGACTATTGAAATCACTTTTTTGTAAGTTATGTAGTACCTTCTTAACTATTAACTATTCTCCTATTTTATGGGGTCTAAACCCCCTGAGGTAAAGTCCTCTGGTAGTAACTGCTCTGATGCAACAGACTGGGTGTTTGGGATGTCAGCACTGATTCTGAGGCAAGGACTGCAGTGTCTTTACAATCCCCTTGCAGGAACGGTGCTCCAAGCTGCAATGCACTTGGTTACTACTCTACCTAAGTGGATCATCTCTCCTCTTGTATTACACCTTCCACTCTCAGTCCCTGTATCACAGGTAAGTAGAGAAACAGTTCTACCCCACCATAAGTTACTCAGACATTAACTGGGGACACTTTATCTGCTGTTTTTCTTTAATTATGGCATTGGTTTCTCTTTCACTTTAATCTCCATTCCTCCCCTTCTGCCAAATTTAACAGGTGCTGTCCTTAGAAGCAGTATGATGGAATTTTCTAGACTCCATTCTCGATTTAGTGGCACTACTGTGCCACAGAGACCATTCCTGGCTTTGATTCCCAGCTTTGACCCTTGGGAGTACCAAATGTGGCATCCTGGTGCTCCGTGGAGTTTATGACTCCAATTGATTTTTTCCCCCTTGACCATTCTGTAGCTGCAGCCTTGGCTGGAATTCAAATGCTAAATGCCAAACTGAGACAGCAAACTGAGCTCTGGAGGATGGGGGCTGTGATGAAGGTACAGCAAAGAAGGTTCCAAGATGGAAAAGTTGTCAGAGATCCTCAGTGATCCATTTACAATGAGCAGTTCATTTTCTTAGCAAATGTTCTCCCTTGGTGTAAGCCATGTTTCCTTTTTTAATTAAACCTGCTGTGATAATCTCAGGTTACAGTTTCCTCTAAATAGGGTGCTCCAGTAACTTCTGATACTTCTTTTTGTAGCTTAATCTTCTTAAGCCCCACTGTGGATTTTATGAACTTTTGGGAGGTGCTTTGGATTGTGGGAGTCACAGACTTTATTCTGAAATTCCTCTTCATGGGCTTGAAGTGCTTTATTCTCCTGGTGCCTTCTTTTATCATGTCCTTTAAATCCAAGGTAAGGAAACAAGCTTGTAGTTTTGATTCTTGTGAAGATTCTCTTATGGTAAAAGTAACTAATAATTAAATTCTACCCAGAGAAAAATCTTTAATTAAATGTCTGTATATAATCCACCACTACACCGTGGGCAAGAAAACCCTGTGGATTTCATGTTCTTCTCTGCTTGGTGCTAAAAAAGGTTTTCAGCCTGATCTGAAACAATTGCTTGTATTATATCCTTGGATAAATGGGTTTATTTCTGTCTCCAAGTTGGGGGTTGAAGCAAACCTTTTATTTTCTGCTCTGTAGGAATGTGTACACGGGCAGTTGGCCTGAAGCAGCTGGAGCACAGCAAATTTTGCACATGCTCAACAAGAACTGTCAAGATTTTAAGATCTGCACGTGCAAACAGCTGTTTTTTTCTGTCTCTTCAAAAATAATCCTGAATTTTCTTTGTTGTTAATAAACTTAAGGAATATTTGTGTCAGATGAAGGAATTTGATTCATAGCTTAATTTCTCAAATCAGTGAAGTTTAATAATTTTCTCAGAAGCTTTCACTCACTGGTGGTGTATTTATTTTTATCTGCTTCCCAAGGTGAGGCAGGCAAAACCAATTACATTTTATCTTAAAATTGCAATTACTAGTGCTGGTTCAGAAAAAGCAAATTAGCAAGTACAGTTTGATGTGGTAGCATTTGAACAGGATGTTTTGGGATGTTTTTATCTCTTATAGTGTACCAGAACAAGTTCTCCTGAGGTACAACTGACTTCTCCATATACTGATATATAATCAAGATCTCTATTTTTTTTCTAGTGATGTAACATGCAAAAAAGTTATTGAAAATTCCATTACACCAACTATGGCTAAATTAAAGAAGAAATCTGGTCAATAGTGACAAACTGTGGCATCATCCTGTGAACATTATAGAAAGAGTTACAAATACAGTTTCAAGAAAAACTTTCTTTCTTTAAAAGCTAAGCTAAATATTTATGATTATACATGTACACACACAGTGTTCTGTGCAGGACACTTGTGTTTTGTTACTCACTAATTTTTTGGGTGTTACTGAACACTGGTTACCAGTTCAGTCCAGCTCCCCTTTTGCTTCTCTCCTGGCTCCCCAGTTTTTATATCACCCCATCCTTAAAGAAGTTTATTATCAGAAGATAATAAACAAGTTTCTTAGACAGACACAAAACTGTTTACAGGAAAAGAGTTTGTAATGTATTATTAATAACGTTGTTATTGTTATTATTATTATTATTATTATTATTATTATTATTATTATTATTATTATTATTATTATTTACTAATAATTACTAAAAGAATGGGCCTTATTCTCACTTTTTAACCCTCAGTGAGGGTCACAACTCTGGCTCATGACAGGCTGAGCTCTGTGACCAAATTTTCACGTCACTTTACTTTTTGTGATGCTTATGAAATTAAGTCTGATGGACTTGTTAAATAGGTAGGCATCTGCCAAGCCATCCCAATTCAGCCTATAATTTGATTTTCTGCAGTCCAGCAATCAATTCTGCTACTCTTACTTGTATGGTTGTGGTGAGACTCATCCTCTGATCTTTTTTTTCTGTGCTACACATTTAATTGTTTCAATATGAGAAGCTACTCCAAAGAATAACAATGCATCTTTTCTGTGTATTTTGGAAATCCTTGGAGTTGTAAATCTTGAGCTATTCCTTTGCATGTCTTGCTTAGGGCTACTGGTACATGCTGTTAGAAGAACTCTGCCAGTATTACCGTATGTTTGTCCCCATACCAGTTTGGTTCCGTTACCTCATCGCCTATGGGGAGCTGGACACTGCACTGGGATGGACCCTTGGCATTCTGCTGGGCCTTCTCTACCTCATCCTCAAGGTATGCAAGCTTTATACTCTTCTCAAATTTTGTATAAAATTCTCAAGTGATTATTCTGCAGGAATAATCACTGGAGGGTTACAGACACAACACATTTCTGGAAGTTCCCCTCTGTACTCACTGCCAAGTTGCTTCAGTTTTACTGATGCAGCCTTCCAGAAAAACTGACTCAGGACTCAAAATTGTCTTTATCTAGCAATGGATTGGGATTGCAAAGCAAAGGACACAGCTGCCTTAGGTCCCCTCACATCAGACACAGAACTTGCAAAAATAAAGATAAAATTAACAGCTAAAAGAATCACCATTTTCCAAGAAAGAAAATTTTCTCTGCTGGAGTATCCTGTGTGATGCTAAACAAGTTAAACATCTTCCCAATGGCTCTCTGCTTCTCCAAAGAGCTCATCTGCCCCAAATATAACCAGTTTGGCTTTAAACATGACCAACACTTCATCATGCTCTGCTACTTTAAATCCAGGACTAAAAGACCATTGCAAGTATGATAATAATAATAATAATGCTGATACATTTGCACTCCAGTGCTTCATTTCAGAACCTTAAAAACCACTCTTAAAAACCAGACTTCCACCAGGAAAACTTCAGCCTAAATTCTTCGTTTGGTTACATTTCAAACATTTAAAATAGGGTCAGTCTGAACTATCACTGTGCTTATGTGACTTAAACATCCAACCAGCAATGAGACTTCCAATGTTGGAATCAAAAGCTTGGGAGCTTTTTAGTTTACAGTGAAAAAATACTTAAGCATAACTCAAGTTTCCTTTCCCATTTCAGCTTTTGAGCTTTTTTGGACAATGGAGAAACTTCAGGCAGGTCTTACGGATATTTTTTACACGCCCAGTGAGTACTGAATTCTCTTACGACAAAACCATAACCCCAGTTTCTATGAAAATCCTTCTACAAATTCCTCATTCCTGTTCATGTTGTTTTAGCAATAAACAAATGCATTTTTAAATTAATCCCTGTATACTCATTCTCCCATTTCACAGACTGAGTTCCTCGACTGAATGATAGTGTTGTCACCTGAACAACAACAAAATCACCCACCAAAAAAATTTGCACACCCTTCAGATAAAAGGATGTGAAATAATCTTTTTTTGTCCTGCTTCTGCTTTAAAAATCAGTGATGTTTCTTTAGATGAGGGATTTAAGTTTCCCTGCAGCCCTTATTCAAAATTCCTTTCTGTCCTGGTATTTGGGTTTGGCTTTTTCATCCCCCTCAAAATTAATATTTGCTGCAAATCCTTTGTTTTACAGCACTATGGGGTGCCAGCCAGCAAGAGACAGTGCTCTGAATCTGATGATATTTGTTCCATTTGCCAAGCTGAATTTCAGAAGCCTATTCTGCTGATCTGTCAGGTAATACACATAATCCCATTTGTTGTTTTGGTTCTTTTTAAATTAAAGAATATTTAAACTACTGTTACACAAGACAACATAAAAAATAGATGAGTGTATGTTTGATGATTATTTTTAGAAATCAGACTGTACAAATAATATAAATGGAAGAGCTTAGAAGCTCTAAGTTGTCATTCTTTTCATTCCAGCACACATTTTGTGAAGAATGCATCTCTTTATGGTTTAATAGAGAAAAAACCTGTCCACTCTGCAGAACTGTTATTTCAGACCATGTTAACAAGTGGAAGGATGGAGCCACATCTATGCATCTCCAGATTTTCTAAAGCTTGTCAAACAACTTGGGTTCCAGTTTGTTTGTTCACACTAAGGTTTTTCAGTTTACTGCAGATTAAATTGTAGGTGGCACAAGGAAGGAGTTTCCAAATTGCAGATACTGTGTATTTAAAACGGTGCAGAAAATGGCAACTTGACCTTTTTTAAGTAGAGATAACTGAAGTTCTCAGAATGAATGCAGAAAAGCCAGCATTGCTTCTCTTGTGATTCTCATAGGAAACAGGCAAATCCTAGAAATGTGTTGCATTACTTCTTAATTCAACATTTTATTTTAAAAGTTTAATAGGGTTCCAGACTGTACTAAATTGTATTTATCCTTCTAACACAACTCAAGCCAAAAGGTCAACTTACTGATTTTATTAAGGTTATGAGCAAATTTTATACTCTGGACTGCAGTGAGAATTAGAGCTGCTTGCCACTCTTGGCATTAAAGATCTTTGATGCTTGCCCAGTAAATAAAATAAATGGGCTTATTAATGCACCTGGAACAGCAACTATTTCTCACTGCACCTGTAGATAAACAGATTAAAGAATAAGATATTTCCCCCTTTAGGTTCTTCTAGGCTTCTAATGGATCCTTGGCTTAATCTTTTGGCTTTAAACCAACCACTGATGTTAGATTTTTACTTAGCATTTTATAAAGCTGTTATTTTTAAAAGAAATCTTTAATACTATATTTTTGTCATAACAGGAACCAGATTTTCTTACAGGAGACAATCTATTTTATACTCTATTTGCAATTTGTAGTTTGCATAAAAATCAGAGAGAATAAATGCATTTGAATCTATTTGTTTGGTGCATGTCGAATAAAGAAAGAAGATTTCTTATTGTTTTGGTATTAACTCATATGTAAGCACTTAACTGCTCACTGCCAGATACATTTTTCTTGTTAAAGAAAACAAAAACCCTTTACATGTTACAATTTGTTCATGATTAGTTTTTATGTTATTTCTAGCACTAACTTCTCTGTAACCTCACTTTCCTTTCCTGATTTTCTTTTTTTCACTTTGCTATTCAGGTAAGACTAAAAACATCACTCAAATGATTCTGTTACAGGAAAGCTACATTTAGTTACCATTAACTTGAGCTTGTCTTGCCTGAAGACATTTAGAAAACTTGTGAATTCAGGAAAAACAATTAAATACTGAAACAGCTGAACACCCTAAAGGTACAGCTCCAAGGGCAGAATCCAGTATTCAGAATAAAAATCTAATGAGATGGAAGATTCAAGCTAAGAAATATCATTACATGTGACTTGTAAAGCTCACCAAGATTATTTTATGGAGCCCAACAAAGTGTTAGTGCTTTAAATCAACCCTGATCCTTTGGTCTTTGTCCACAACACTGTAGTAACAACCAGAGTAAGTGTGGAGATTGGTCAAAAACAGGGATCAGGGAACAATTTCTCCTCTTTCTTTGTGTTGGTTTTTCTATCCAAACCCAGTAATTTTAAAAACATGTTTTATTAAAAAAACCCCAAGAATAAAAAAGAGATTTTGGTCAACTGGTTTAGATTTACACTTCATAAATCAAACAAGTCATTCTCATCTTAGTTACAGACAGGGGAAAAAAGTGAGGATCTGACATCCAGGAATGGCATCCTCTCTGACCCATGGAACACCTCCTGATCCAGGCCAGGATGCCCTGCTGGCAGGGACACACAGGGTGACAAATGACAATCAACAGCCACTTTTTAAGAGCCTAAGGGGACAGTACCAGAAGGAACCTCTCTTGGGTCTTTATGTTGTGAGGGAATTCCTCCTCCATTTCCCATCAAAGCTCTCAGGAAAGACAATGATTTACATTTCCTGTTATACTTAAAACCTACCTACTTCCTAAAATACAAATAGGTCACTTGGATTAACATATGTTTTAATTTGCATTTAGTTGCTATTCACATTCACCTTATTTAGCTCTTGAGGGTATTTAGTTGCAGTAAACTGTGAGAGATGAAAACCAGGACAGGGATTACCTTTGTTTCTGCTAAGGCAGCTCAAGGGTGTTCTTACAGACAGCTACAGATGGATTTAGTCTAGCAGAGAACAACTGGAGAAGTTTATAGATGGGATCTGCACATAGATGGGATCTCTAGGGAGAATATTCAAGTAATTTCCTTCTTCTTGACTTCTCCTTTGGATAAAGGATTTCCCTTAGCTGGGAAAATGAAACAGCAAGGAGCCTGCTGTAGAGATAGAATTTAAACAAACCAACCAAACCCCAAACATCTGCCCTAAAACCAGAGCAGCCTCCTCAATGTTTGATGCACTTGTTGATTAACACTGAGAGCAGGTTGGGAGTTAACACAGAAAAGAGAACAGACCCAAAATAAACTTGAACTGTACACTTATGAGAGGACTCAAATATGAAATGTTCTCCAGCAGTTCAGCTTTTAAACAGCACAGAAAAAAAAAAGGGATATTCAAAAGAACAATTGACTCGTTGATTTTTATCTTTTATTATGAGCTAATACCAGGATGACATTCAAATGTCAGATGGCACAATTAAGACAGTCTTGGTAGGAATTATTCCAGCATTCCCAAAATTACAATTTAGTACACGAATGGCGTCAAATGTATGCATCACTCCCACAGAGAAAAATTATGGAATTCTGAATATCTTATACCAGAATAGTTTCTGCATCAAATGGGAAAAAGAAAAACTGCTGGTAACACAGCTGACCTAGAAACCTTTTCTGATAATGACCTGCAGAACAAAATATTTCCCTATTTAATATCTAGTAAAAAAAAATATGACTTTTGTTCAAGTTTAAGATTTAATACTTTTATATGGTTAGCCACAACAGGTATTAACCTCAGTTTTACTATATTTTTGTAATGCTACAAAAATCCTATAAAATCAAATTATAGTGAATTTTTCAGTGATTATAATTAAAAAAGCGCAGCTTGTACAAAATAAAAAAAATAAGATTCTATACTCTAATGAAAAATTTAAGACATTTTTAAATGAACAAAAGAAAGCACTTGTTAAGCTCTCCAATATTCAATGCATTCTGCACTTATCTGAAATAGCCAGACAGGAGCTAGAACTCCACTCCCCTTAGTTCACAACTAGTAATTTTGACACTATTATATATATATATATAGAGGATCTATGTCTGATATTTTTACAAATAAATACAGGATAAACCATATTGCATAGTGTGTGCTTGCTGTCTGAGTCACACTCCCAAAGTTTCACAGTTATGGTAGGGAATTCAACTTACAATCTACGGGCTAAAACATTGACAGTACATGGAATTCCTTGGAAAACCAATGGGTTGGGTTTGTAATTGATCAGTGAACTCAGACAAACAACTCTTGCCATTCTTGCCAGCCATTAAACCAATTCCACTGGACAATTCTATCCAGCCAAGCAAAAAGCAACTGTTAGCTGTAAGTAGGACCAAGAGAGATCTGCCTCTAAAAGGTTCTTTTTTTGGTTGTTTTTTTTTTTTGTTTTGTTTTTAACCAAATTCCTTTATCCTCAGTGAATGTCAGGAAAGTCCAGGTGCTGTGTGTTTGCAGACAGGCCCAGTGCAAACACTCTTGAGCACCTGGATTTTGGTTCCACAAAATCACCCGTGGCCACGTCACCAACTGAACAATGGCAATCTTCCAGTATGTCACTGTAAGTTAACTTGATTTTCCTCCTAAACTAAAAAAAAAAAATTATATTTTTCAACGAAAGGCTTATCAGGAAGTTATAAAAAGCCTAATTTTTGCTCAGTCATAACCATTTTTTTGTGTTGGTTCTTTGTTAGCATCAAGGTACCACTGAATCCTTCTGCCTTGCCAATTTTAGCAAAGAGCACTGTGATCGGATTCAATGCTTAGAGAGAGTTTTATGGCTTGGATCCTATGGCTCAAAAAGATTCAGTATCCACAGAGTAAGCAGAATCTAGAATAAAAAAATCCCTACTGTTGTGAAACACCAGAAGTAGACTTTGCACAGTTTGACTAAAAGATAATGCATCGTGTGGCAGGCAAAAAGTGACAGGACTTGTATGCAGCTGCATGATCATCTCCACACACACGCACACACCATCCACACTCTAACTCTAGGGTAAAGCTCTGCAGATATTAACCCTTTCACCAGCTATGTTCATGGAAATGCTTTCTCTTTAAGGCAGGAAGTATTTAAAGTAAGGTAAAGTTTTACCTTTATTTTATTCTTTGTACCTGTAAGTCAGTTGTACAGATCGTGACAATTTTAAAAACATAAATAGTGTCCTTAAGAACATGTTTGCTAAATTAAAGTTTTGCTAAAGTTCTGACCCACTGTGGAAGACATTCACTGAAAGGCCATTGAACACTTTACTCATACAATCAGCAAATTTATTGCCCCAGCATAGAAAAAAAATGTTGATAAATTTAAGAAATGTATAATGGCAGGAAACTACCATAAGCAAAATTTTATTATTAATAATAATAATTTTAAAAATCCTCAAATTCTTACCCACTGGTTACAAAAATATTTATTTCATTATACTCTGGAGGATTTATCTGTGTTTGATGTGGTACTTCCTAGAGATTTCTACTGACCTTGTGTTCTGCTCACTGTTAATCTCTGTGGGTAAGAATCTGAGCTGCCCAGCTGTGCCCAGCTGAGGACCAGCGTGTACAAAAGTGATGTTTCCCAGTGAAATGTCTGCTGAGGACAGGCATGAAATAAGCAGGACGTGTGTGAGCCCATGGCTTCCAGTTAAGCCTAGAACATAGCAGCACTGCTGTTTGATTAGATCCATTTGTCTTTGCAGGAACAAACAGGGATTTCAGCTGGGGAAGCAGGAAAACAGTTCTCTCCCACCCCGCACTGCCAGGCTGGTCAGTGAGTGATTCATTTATTGATTGGTTGGTTCATGAGGAGGAGAATCAGAACTAGAGCCTTGAACTTTCTTCACAGCAACCAATTAAGTTTGCCTATTTCATTTTGGGATACTTTCCATAATGAGCTGAATCAAAAAATCTATTTGAAAAATATATATTTTTTATATATATATATATAAAAAAACTCATTATGTTTTGAATGTGAAACACCAATTAAGTTTAGCTTTCCTCTTTGATTCCACCCCATTGTAGGAAACCGCTTAACGAAGCTTGCATGCTAATTACCCCTCAGCTGCAAGCCTGCAGGCATTCCAAACTCTGCCTAGTGAAAGGGCCAACCCTCCTCGACACATTCACGACTACACCAGTGATTCTGAAGCAACATCCTGCCCCTTAATACTGTCAGTTTCGAGCTCTCAAGCTGAAAGATCCTTGATAAGGTGAGAAGATGTCACTGGAATCAGTAAGATGATGTGCCTAGAGTTCTGCAATACCATTTGCTAAAGTTTGTTTTTTTTTTATGCACCATTGATTGACAGGAAAAAAAAAATCCATTTTTCTTTGCTTTCCAAGTCTCTCTGTGCAATGACCGATTCTTTGATACTGTCACTTTTTAAGAGTAAACCAAACAAGCCCTCAAATTTCAACTTCAAGGGGGCTCATGTCCGTTCTTGGTTTTCCACCTTCCCTTCCAAGGCTTACAAAAATGGTGTTGTCATAGATTCATGCGCAAGTGCTCCGGTCGTTTGGAAATCATGGGAAAAGCCTGTTTTTTGTAGGGCCCAGAGTTTGGTTGCCGGATTGGAAGTGGTGCTGAAGCCTCTCCACAAACTGTCACATCCATTTGTTCTATTCCACTGGTCTCCATCGGGTATTCCACAGGTGTCTGGGTGTTGGATGCGCCGGCAGAAGCACCTCTTCCCCAGAACTCCCCAGGGGAAAACTTTACAGGGCTTTAAAACAAGAAATACAAAAATGAGATACGGACACATACATAGCACCAAGGTTTATCCCTTATACTCTGCAGGAAACTGCACTCAAATGCCCCTATGGAGAAGCAATTCTAATTGTTCCTTTCACTTCCAGGAGTCTGAGAAATTTCCATGTCTGGCCTCTACCAGTCTCTTGTAAAATTCTCTCACTTTGAGGTGACTGCAGAAGGCTTTTTCTGCACTAACATGACTCTTTAGTGCTTAGGATGTTCTGAAACAGTTTTAGCTGTATCAAAATCACCACTCTGAGGCTGTGTCAGCACTGAAAAGCAACTGGTTAGAACTTCATGTGCTGCCCAACACCACAGATTTGTCTTTAATAATGTGGTTTATAAAACAGAATCACTTCTAATGGAAGTGCTGGGCTTACTCAGAACTAAGGCTGCATTTTTTATTTCTAGTGCTTCAACTACATGTCAAAAAGTGTATTCAAAACAAAAAGAAAAGAAAAAGAAGATAAAGTACCTGACTGGTGTCCTAGGGCTACCTATGAATCTGCGAGGTGATCGAATTTTTGGTTCAAAAGAAAATTTCTCTTTTACGCTTTCAAGTACAGATGGAGCCACATACGTAAAACCCTGCAAAACAGGAAAAAGGCACTGCAACTCCCAGGCAAGGTCTACATTCAGGATCACTTGTGAAGTTATTAAAATCTGATTATTACAGGAAAATGATAAAGAGTCAATGTTGACAGATTCACTCCTTGAAGCAAACAGTGGGACTTCAGGGAGTTGTTACACCCCAGCTATTTCTCCTCAGATCACAGATTCCCACAGGCACACTCAATTTATTTTGCTCTATGGAGTGGCTGTTGTTGTCTCTGCATGGCTCTGAAAGCAATGCCATGTGCAGGGTCCACAGTGCACCTCTGAATCAGAATGCTGACATTCCACAAGGGCAGCACTGTTTGTTGGCTGCTGTATAAAGAAAACGTCAGCAATAACCAAAGTATTTTCAAAGCCTTCCAACATTTCAAACCTGTCAGAGGATTTGGGTTTAGTTATGAGAGTTTGCTTCAAAGTGTTAGGAGTCAACAGAATGAATTTAGCTGAAATGTCCCCATTTCCAGTAGCAAACCTCCCTCTCCAGTCACTCCTCATTTGTCCCTGGCTCACTCACCAGAAAGACCTGGTTGGCACTTTCACTGAGAGTTGAGTCATCTGGGCTATCAACAGGTGTCTGACGTGTAAACTTTGAATCAAACTGGCTCACATCCTCTTCAGATTGCTTTGCAAAAACAAAATGATTAAGGGTTTATATTACAGATATCAACCAAATGGCTCAGCGGTGAGCAGTGCAGCCTCTGGATGGAGTTCATTCCATGGGTTTTTGGCAGAGCTCTGCTGGAGGAAAACCCTGGAGTGGTGTCGGAATCCTGTCGCTGCCAGTGGGAGGTCACTATGGGCACTGACACTGAGAAATAAAGGCAAGGGGGAGGGGCAAAAATTATGGATCAAAAAGGAACACAAATTAAAAAGATGCCTTAAAAAAAATTTCTCAAATTACAAACAAAAACTTTTAGATATACAATGCCAGTTTCTTGCAAGTTTAGCCCTTGTCACAACCAGTATAGAACAGTTGCAACTATTTAGTT